TCAACTCTCAACCTGTTTTTTGTAGAGGTCTTTTCATGTCAACGAGATTTTTTCAGGTTTGGACCCATCTTTCCCATCCTTGGCCCATCACTGCATTCATGGGTTCCCCTACTAACCCCCCTCTATACTACCCCCCCCCCTGGTGGGTTCCCCCCTTACTTGTGTTTCAGGTTAATGAATTTGGGGATACTTAAGCTTGATTAAGGTTCATTAATTAAAGGCGAGGCGAACTTGGTGGGGGAAGTATAGCTGGGAGTAGTAAGGGAAACCCTGATTCTTTCATCAGGCATTCAGGGTTTAAAGTTTGGGGGTGCTCTACTGTCTTTAGACATCACAGTGCCCACGCAATTCCAGATTGCAGCTGGGCCTTAAACCCTAAACCACCCGCGAAATCCCAAACCCTGAGCCTAAGCCCCAGATCCTAAAAAAACTCAGGCACCAGGTTTTAAACCCTAAGCCCCAAATCCTACACCCTAAACCCCAAAACCTGCACCCCAAACCCCAGATCCTAAACCCTAAACGCCAAATCCTACACCCTCAATGTGTAGACTCAATGTGTAGACTTAGCGCGGGACTTTCCGATAGCCTCCCGCCGGGACGATCTCAGCCCCATGGCAGCCCGAGCGTCTTTTAGGGTTTACGGTTTAGGATTTAGGGTTTAGAGTTTAAGGCTTAGGGATTAGGATTTAGGGTTTGGGGCTTAGGGTTGAGGATTTAGGTAGAATTCTTCCAAGCTTCTACATTGCTTCTAGATTACCCTCAGGGTCCAAGTACCTAATAATCATATACTTATCCAAAACCTCTACTAGAATTACTAGTAGTCTAGAAACACAAGTGCCTAATTATTGAGTACTTGGACCCTCTGGATTATTCAAACCACTACCGCTTTTGTCCTGTGCGATGTTGGGGTAGCTCTCATTTGCTGATGAAGTCCAGCTCCGAAAAAAGGTGCGCGGTGTCAGGGTTTGGGGAAATCTGCCCTGTGCCACATGAGCTACAATTTAGGGGTTTTCTAGGGGTTATAGGGATCATGGAAAAGAAAATGGAAACTACAACTATCTAAGGTTTAGGGTTTGGGGTTTTGGGCTAGATGAGCTATAGTCTGAACTCCTCAAAGGGTGGGATATAGGGGATCATATAGGGGAGTATTCTGAGGGCTATTTAGGCGGATACTAGGAGCTCAGACTGTAGCTCGCACAAGCACCTATTGATAAGGTCCTACTGCATAGCTGCATCCGACGAATTGTTCTCTTTTTGTAGCTGTTAACCCTTATCTGAAAGGTGGGATACCCACAGCCTTCGTTGTCTAGTCTGAAGGTTCCCCAAGGCTGGCGCTCGTACGAATCCTACGGACAGGTATGATATGCTGGGTCTAGGAATTAAATTTGCAGCAATCGTGGTCAAGCTGCAATGTGGCATGCTTTGCTGTCCACAATTTACTGCACCTGGACAACTGGCGGGCCACCCCGAGGTATGCAAATAAGAAGTCAAGGCAAAAGGTGCGTTACGGCAGGTTTGCAAAAGGGTGTTTGTTGGGGTGATCTGAGAAGGTCCAGGTACCTACATCGTATATACTTTGGGTCCACATGGGGTTCCTCTGCAGGTCTCTGGGGGTCCAAGTTTTTCTGAGTGGGTGTCTGGACGGCATACAACCACAAGAAGCATATAGTAGGTCGCCAGTACTTTCCATTTTCTTTTCTGTCATCCCTATATAACCGTATACTACCCCTATATAATAAGATCTCCATGTACTCCATGTTCTATCTACTTCAGGGTGACTATAAACCCATATGACTTTGTCGGGGACAACAGTACGCCTGTTGAACAGACTGGCAATACATCTGAGGAGCGGCGTCTTGGGGATGGGAGCCTTCCTGATTGAAGCATATGGGGGTTTCCTTAAATTCGGGGTACCTTTATGGGGGGTCCCCATGATGAGGACTAATAGTATTTTGGGGTCTATGTTGGGATCCTCTATGTAGGGAAACTGCATTATATCCTTGCTCAAAAATCTTCTCCCACCCGAAACCCAAAACCCTGATCCCTCTGTTTTTCTTTTCAGCCTACCGCATTTGGGTCGACCGGCTCGCTATGGACACGGACAGCACGCCAATGTTTCGTCACATTTTTCACCCCTAAACCCTAAACCCTAAAAACTATATGTGTGCCCCTTTCAAGGTAGAGTTCCGCTGCCTGAGGGTTTGAACCCTGAACCCTAAACCCTTGTGTTGGATGGTGCTCTGCTCAAAGGGGCACCCTTCCAAGGCATGTGCAGGAAGTATGCAATAACATCAGGGCTTGGACTGTAGGGTTTAGGGTTTAGGGTTTAGGGCTTAGGATTTATGGCATACTTACTCAAACAAGTAAAGTAGGGCTACCCATGTGACACTAAACAGTCTACATCTTATCTGAGCTACAGTGAATATTTCCCATAGAGCTATATAATGCGCATGGATTCGTATTTGTAACCATCTTATACGGAGCTACCAAAGGGACCCCGATGTCCACCCCCTTATTGGTCAATTGGCAAGCGTTGTATTGACAGTGGCTCATATAAACTACCTATATCCCCAAACCCTAACATTCATAGTAGATCACATGAGACAAGCCTTGATTTGAAACATTGAGACGTGCGACCCTCGGAGTTGTTGCTTGATGCTCTTCGAGCAGCAACATAAAGGCTTATGGCTGAAGGTTTTAAGCTGGAACCCTAACCCTGGTGTTGAGGACGTCAGGGTTTCAAGGAAATCAAGGTTTGGGGGGATTCAGGGATCTATGGTTGTGTGGCAATGGGAGTTTAGGGTGGTGGGGTTAGGGTTCAGCCATCGTAGGATTCAAGCTAGGCCAGACGGGTGGCAGAATTCACTTAAAGTAGGTTCGGTTGGCGAAAAGAAGGCCAAGAAAAGCACCTATGACCAATGTAACCCTTCGCCCTAAACCCCAGGATCTCAAATCGGAAATGCTCAGCCTTCTTGCATGTATGCAAACGCTGGTATAATTGCTGCAGGTATTCATTATCTTCAGACGTTCCGAGCCCATCCCCCGTTCAGTTGTAGAGCGACGTGGCTAGGGGATTAGGCTGTTCAGGGTGTCTGCATGTTTGAAGATTTCGGAACACTTTACAGAAGCACTCATTGCATTTGAGAACAATCTCCCAGAATGCCAGTGTTTCTTCATGTGGGCTTTGGGCGCTTTCAAAACCAGAATCCTTTTCGGTAGTCTCATTAATGAGGATTATACTATTTAGAGAGAGAGAGAGAGAGAGAGAGAGAGACAGAGAGAGAGAGAGAGAAACAAAACGAGAGAGAGAGAGAGAGAGAGAGAAAGAGACAAAGAGAGAGAGAGAAACAAAACGAGAGAGAGAGAGAGAGAAAGAGATAAAGAGAGAGCGAGAAAGCACAAGACAGAGACAGAAAGAGAGAAAGAGAGAGAGAGAGAGAGAGAGAGATAGATATATGTCTATGTATATATATATACGTGAATAGGTGATCGGCGATAAATGCCAAGTAAGACTTCCATAAACCCTAAACCCTTAAAATGTGAGTTCCACAAAACCCTAAACCGTATACAAACCCTGAACTCTGTTCAAACCCTGAATCCTATCTAGGCTCCCCCCAAAACAAAATCGAAACTCTGCGAATCAGGCGGAGTGCATCCGACTTACTCAAGGACTATGGGGGGCCTGCTGGGAGATAGGGATACTGTTGTGAAGCTCCCCAAGGGTGTAGTTAAAGAGCGGGCTTAAGGTTTCTACGTTGAGAACTTAAATGGCGTCATGGATGTTGGACTGAAGTATGTGTAATGCTCACAAATTGTAGTTTTAGAGTTAAACTTTAGGGTCGCCTCTTCGTGGCTTCAGATTCAAGCTTTTAGGGTTTAGGGTTTAGGATTTAGGGTTTAGGGGATTTAGGGTTTAGGGTTTAGGTCTCAGAGTTTAGGGGTTTAGGGTTTAGGGGATTTAGGATTTAGGGCTTAGGGTTTAGGGGTTTAGGGTTTAGGGTTTCGGGCTTGGCCTAAGAGCTTGGGACGCTTGGCTGCAACTTGGCGCATCAGGCCTCGTTGACGCTAATGCTTCCTGAGCAAGAGAATCAGAGAACCCTAAACCCTGAAAACCCTGATAAACCCTAAACCCTAAACCGTGAAACCTAAACCCTAAACTCTGCTA